TTCATCACATCAGTAAACTTTCCGGTGTGTTGTCGCTACAGTGTTGTTGTGACCTCACTGTTGTTTCTGAGAAATCACAGTGGAGAAATAGCTATATTTAGAGCCGACGTCACTGTTTGTGAAGTTGCTCAAAATACCTCATTGCTGAAATCACTGTAGTGACATCACTGGACTGCATGTGATTTCATCCATTGTGACAGCTTTAGTTTATTTTGATCAGATATAATATAAACTGAATGTGGATTGGAACATCATGAACATCACTGAACACTACTGGGAATATTTCCAAAATTCCTTTTAGCATTAAAGATGTCTTGAGAAATATCTCTTCCTGTTTCCAGAAACCCTCTCAGTTCATTCTGTTCTGTCATTTTTGGCCCAAGCTTTCCTTTCAGAGGTGAAATTAACATCAAACCCTGGTTTTACATATCGATGATTTGTTAATTTTCCAGTGTAAACTCTGTTGTGGCTGCTTATCTAAGGTTAGTCTGTTGAAACCTCTCACGGGGAGAGCACAGTTTTACCAAATACTGTATGAGTCACCTGCTATCAGTCAGCATTACATCAGATAAAACCTCAGCATGGAGCACCAGAGCCAAAAAGTCTCATTATTTAGCAGGTAAAAGTCGACATAATGACATTCTGGGTTTTCTAGTGCATGAAACAATGGCAACTGACTGGAACCCCCTAATGAATCCTAATAAGCTTCAGCTCCTTTCCTCCCCCCTTGGCTTACTAACACATGACATTTTGTTTTAATAAACCATTAGCTTAATATCCTCCGCTGAATGTACTGTAGGGCAGCAAGGGCGCGGCACACTCACTGTGACGGGATCACACACAGACGTACACAGACAGAGGAGAGAGGCAATGGCGCATTAGACAAGAGTACAGTATGTCTGCAGAGTGTCTCCCGTCAGTCATTAGGTCTGTTCAGGCATGGATACACACTGATGTAATGAGGCACAGTGAATGTGTTCAGTCTGTGTGTGTGTTTAATAGATTGAAGGATGAATCATTCCAGGGATGACCTGATTCTTTAGGGAAGTTTGGGTTTGTGTGTGTGTGCGTGTTTGGGGGTTAATGGCGCATGAAATGATGTCTTCATTAGCATCTCCTCAAGATAAACCACATGATGGGACAATAATCATATCTGTCAGCTACATGACAGGAACAAAGGATACTGTGAGCCTAATTGTAAAATCATTTATTTTTTAAAATCATTAAACTTTTTGTATCTGTTTTTAAATACCTGTAAAAAAATGTTACCCACCTGCTGTGTGGCTTTATAACACAGATGTTTAAAGAGAACTGGATACAGCATTGGAGGCAAGGCCCTGTTCATTCTTATGAAAGTTGCTCAGTGAAGCATGAAGCCAAAGAAGTTCAACTTCCTGGCTATAAAATTACCCACATTGTCTGCATCGTGGAACCCACAGACCAAGTGCACGAGAGACAGTGCCAAATTCCAATGCCCCATTAGTCCAAGAAAAGTCTCATTTTTCAGACCCCATTTTCAGAGTCCTGCACCGTTGTTTGAAAATCCACACCCACCCATACGCCACACCTATCTACACACCACAAAAGTCCCAGGACCCCAGCTGCACCCATGGTTACACACACAGGCTACAGTTACTAACATTAAGCTGGGTTCTCTGTTCTTGAATTTCAAATCCAGCAGAGGAGACATCTCTCAATACTGGGGTGGCATAAACATTCCATGCAACCACTGCCACATTTTAGCATGCTCCTTCCACCACCATAAAACCTCCTAAGGATACTCCTTGTGTGTCTTGAACTTGATGTTGGCTGCCACCTCATCCTCGGGCTGCAAAGTTGCATGGCTGGAGAAAGTCCTTCATGTTGGTGACGAATGTGACGACAAGCTCAAGGGTTCAACTTGTGTAATAGTGATTTAGATATCAAAATATTACACATATACTGCACATCTTTTTCATTTGTTTTATACTGAAAAATAAAAAGTTCATTTTTGTTCTCATCGCGCCAACCCACCTGTAGTTAATTTTTACCCATGCTGGCACCCATGATTTTATACACATATCTGTGACTGTTACACAGCTTTTTCTGGGTTACCTGCCGGGTACCCAACCGATGATACACACATCCTGCCGTTAGTTTCAGTTTCCCAGTGGCATTTAAGTGACTAATCCAAGGTGTTTTTATTGACCCATTTGTGCCTTTCCAGTGACTTGTGTGCCACCAAACATGGGTGTTTAACGTGAAAACATCTGAACTTACCTAATCATAACAGAGTGTTATTTGTGCTTAAACCAAATGGTGATGAACAATGTAACGTATCAGTGGTTTACAGAAACGTAGAGTGCAAACACTCCTGGAGATTAGGTTGTCTAACTGCAGGAGGTGTGTATCTTCTTAGAAACAGGACTTTGGAGCAATGGGCATTTGTTTTTGGGATGACAGGCTGTCAGAGAAGTGGGCTTTTGGTCCAATGGGACATCCTCAGACAAACGGGACTTCAGAATTTGGGGCTGGCAGAACAATGGGCAGTACCTCAAGAGATGTGGCCGATGGAGCAGCTACCTTCTGCTGGCCGAGCCGGCTATTTCAAGTTTAGCCCTCCACTAACCTCAATGAGGATAAAAGAATTTAATTGTGCGCCTCTGCTAGACATTTGAAATGTTATCAGACCGAATGGATCCAAATAGCGAAATTAGTCATTTCGCACGAGGTCATGATGCTAAAAAAAAATAATAAAAGTATCCAATGACTGACAGACATTGTTTTCACAATGAGGTCAGGAACTAGATTTTGCAGATGCATACATACAGATTATTCATTATAGTTAATTTGCCCATCACTAACAATATTGTTTAATCAATATCATTGGTGAAAATTGCAATTTTAGGTTGTTTTTGAATCACAGTTTACTCTTTATTTTGCTTTAGTTTTGTTTTTTTGTTGAAAAAAGGTTACCAAAGAATATTTTCTAAACACTGCCTAGATCTAGTTATATCTTGCAGTCGTGCAGTCTGTGATCCAAACCAACGCCTGCTGTAATTCCTCATGATCCTCGGAAATGTGTGGCTGCTGTGCGAGGATGTGGTTTTCTTTAACAACCGTGCGCAGACCCACCACAGTCACCCCGATGAGTCAAATCACATCACAGGGCGATTTAGATCTGAAGCGGTATGTGTGTTTGCGTGTGTGATGTGTGAGATGGAGATGAGGGTGACAGTCAGGAAACGGCCTCCGGTGTCATCTCGCTCTTTATCACAGTAATGATGAATGAGAAGCTCCATATGTGTTGGGATGATGTTATTGTCAAGACTGGAATTTGCCCTCACATCTCAAATACGCAGGGAAGATAATGTGACCACTGCTGTCACCGATGTCGGTCTGATAAAAAGCTATTAAAAAATTAATTTTCATTGACTGATGCTAATGTTGACATGATAGCAGGGTCTGGATGGGTTCTTACATGGCTTTCAGGTGTCATAATCTGCCCTCTGGCTGCTATAGTGGAGGTCCTCAGCTGTTAATGACAGGCTGATTATATTTCCAAATGAATATGACCAGGAGTATCATGCATCCAATTTTTTGAGGCGGCAGTTTCCAAACCCGACATGAACAGTTTACCTCATCATGGGGACAGTCAATTACTTTATTATACCAGATGAAACACTGAATATTAATCTGAGCATTTGTGGCTCCATCTGCATCTCTTACTGTCTCTGCTCTGCTACTTTAATGCTGAAACTAAAATAAAACATCAACCATGTGTCTCTGACTACTTTGCAAACTCAGCTATTTCACTTAAAACAGTATGGCTATCAAATGCGGGGGTCGGTTTGTGCCAAGGAGCCAATGACTGAAACATCGGCCCTCTCAAGACCAGCCCACCATGGACATACCCAAATATCTGGATGGCCAGTCCGTGCCTGTTACTTTGATGGATGTATAACTAGACACAACATTGGAGGCAGGGCCCTGGTCATTCCTATGAAAGTTGCTCAGTGGAGCATGAAGCCAAAAAAGTTAAACTTTCCGAGTGTTCAAGTACCCAGATTTTTTCGAGCCTAGCAGCTAACTTCTGGTTTAGTAACCCTCTAACTTGGATGGGGATAAAAGGATTTCATCGTGCAGCTGATCCAGACTTTTGACACGTTTATCCACTGATGTACAGACATTTCTTTCACAATTTACGTCTATGGGAAAAGTATTTTGGCGCCAATGGAATCATGTGATGAACCCGGCATGTGTAATTTCATTGTTTGGCCACTATGGAAATTGGCTTGAAGCCTGGCGCACTTCCTGGGGGCCTGGTTACCTTAGCAGAGGCAGCTGTAAATGGCTAGCCTGGACTATTTCTTGGCCAGAGTGCCACCAGTGTTCATGCTAAGCTAAACTAACCACCCCCGTTTATATGTAGGGTGCAGTAACACTATAAAACACAATGCAAAAATAAAACGTACTGATATCCGAAAGCCATTAAAACTCAAAAATTGTAAAAGACGTGGACATTTCTGATGCTATCTTTCAGCTGTAACATTTACTTGACCTCGTTTTCGACACCTTCGATTCAAGATGTTAATAGTGGTGTGACATTTAGAAAAACAATTCATAGAATATAACCCATCTGAATCTCTAAATAAGGACATCCACGCTAAAATAACCTCAGATATTTCATGTTCTGGCTAAATATAGCTAACAACCAGGCCATCTCTCTGGCCCATATACTGTATGTGTTAACTACTCTCCACCAGACCTATATGAAAGTGACAGACATGGCTGCTGGGAGATTTGAGAGCCTCTACAGAGCAATGATGAGCTGAAGTACACTGTACCTTGTTAAATGCCTGACAAGCCACTTCTGCAGACAGAATGTGTCAGTGTTTAATTTTACATTTCTGACAATGTTTGTCTTATTTTGTTGCCCCGTAAATATGAAGAGCCATTATTCACAGCAGACATTTTTATATGTCACAATAGAAAGGTCCTGCACACTGTCATTGCTCGCAGGCATGCTTTAATAAAACACGGCCATTGTGAATGTTTATGTTAATTTATGTAAAATGAATTTGATTTGTTCAACCATGAAACCAACAGCCAGAAATACATTTTCTAATTTACAATGATACTGAACAGAGAAAAGCAGCAAATCTTCACATTAAAGAAGCTATAATCAGCAAATATCTGACAGTTTTACTAATAAATAACCTAAATAATTAATCATTTATCAAAATTGTTGGCCAATGAATAACATTAATTACATTTCTAGTAGTGTTACAGTCAGATCAGTCACACCTCCGAATTGAAATGCATGTCGTGTTGAAATAAACAGTTTAACGTGAGCACGTGAGGAAGCAGAAACCAGTGCATCACTGTCATCTGTGTTCCTCACTGCGGCGTGCCACACAGTCAGATGAGAGCATCACAGAGCCTCCCAACGGCTCCGAGTCCCCTTCTCTTTGTCAGCACTGTGGTGATGTTCATGCGATCTTTGGAGCTCCTCCACAGCTCATCCTGCAACCCCCCACCTACTGGCAAGCCTCGGCACTGTGGCCTGGAAATCAGCACCAGACGTGGCGAGGACGCCGCCAAACTGTAACGCTGTCCAAACTGATGGAGGGAGCTTGGGAGGGGGATGGGTGTAGAAGCAGGAGGTGTGATTGTGTCAGCATCTGTGAATGCGCATTTATGTGCAGGGATATGGGAATCCTGCACACAGATATGAAAATTTAATGCCTGTATGTGCACAGAACAGCCAACAAAAATATCTAACATGATTCAAAACGGTTGGGATGTCCCAGACAAGGATGGAAATCAAAAGGAGGCATGCTTTCAGGGCTTCTGTTAGGGCTTCCTGAAAGGGAAAGAGGTGTGTTGTGGTGGGGTTACTTTAAGCCACTGTGGTGCTGGGATTTAGAGGTTTTCAGGAGGCGGGGGGTTTCATACCAACATTTCTTTGATCTACTGAAGTGGCCTGAGGTCTGAGCTGCCTGCTGTGAGTGGGACGGGTGGGTGGAGGGTAAGTAGGTGGAGCGGAGGGGTGTGTGTGTGTGTGTGTGTGTGTGTAATTCAACACATAAAAACCAAGGTTACACATGAAAACACTGCGGTGCATAGCCTTTCATTAAAAAAGGTAATTGTTTTAATGAGATTATGCGTCGAGTGAGATTAATATAAGAGGCTGTTTAGCTCATAAATCATCCTGAGACACACACATACACACTCATATGAGACACAACAGGGGTGTGAGACACAATTACATTGTTTTGAAGAAAAAATGATGGTGTGGGTGAGATTAGGAATATGTCTGAGAGAATAACAGTGTGTATGAAACAGAATAATGGACTGCATGTGTGTGAGACAAACCTTGTTTTGTTTTTTATTGTGCACGTGCAAAATGACACACTCAAGCAAGTACGCAGGTGACGCTGATTTCACACTCCTCTGCTGATCGACAGTTGGTGCTGGTGACATGCAAATAAAATGGCAATGTGCCTGCAACAGCAGTGGAGAAGACTGCAAATAATGTCTATAATGCATGATATAAAGTGAATTCATCCATTATCTGTAACCAGTTATCCTATTCATGATCATGGGGTGGGAGATTGAGGGCAGATTAATGGCGGAGGATTCTTAGACTGTGATTACTCTGAGCAGTTCGCATGAGAATGAATTACAAAATATATCTCTCCGTTTTTCCCAGATGGTCAGATTACATTGTTAAGAGTTGCTTTTAGAAATCAAGTCACCAAGAGAGTCTGACAAGTTGCTAAATCTAATGAGGAAGTTGCCAAGTTGCCGAACACCGCACCCAAGTGGCAATCTCTGGGGCTGAAAAATAAAACAAACGTGGAAGTGCCAAAAACTGCAGTTCCTCTAATGGCCACTTGGGGCTGGCTCCAAAAGTGAGTCAGTCCTCATAGACCCCCATGTTGACGGCTTTATGACTAGTGTGAGGAGGGAAATCACATTTGTTATACTTCAAGGACACACACACAATACATTTTGGTGAGAATCATATAAACACAGGTGGGTTTGCTTACAAAAAGAAATCAAAAGGGGGGCTTTGAGTTTGTATCATCCATTTCTTCAGTTTTATATATATATAGAGAGAGAGATAGGGTTTGTGTGGGAGAGTATAGTGGTGTGAGATTATGACTCAGTATTATTTGTTTGCCTCTCACAGAATAACTGCACCTACATGTTGACTAAACATTTTGGCTGTCTAGGTGGCAAAACCCACCATTTGTCCCTCAGGTGGATGAGAGCAAACATGTGAAGCAGCAGCTCTGTTTGAGCATGGTAGAGATGCACCTTCTCTTGCAGAGGTGGTAATGCACAAAGAAAGTGCATAAATGTAATATATGGGGGAGGCACCCGAGCAAACATAGAGGAATTCCTTGTAAAACAAGTACGTAAGTGCATGTGACACATTTGCAAATGCAGCAAAGAGCTGGTGGGCCGAGGGTGCAGCCAAGAGGGGGAAATGTCACTTGTCCCTCCCCGATTTCGGTCTGTCTCCACTTATAAAACTCCCATAAAACCAATAATGTTGTGCAGATGTAGACGTTTTACCCGTGAGCTAACAATATAGAGGGCGCAGTATGTTGAGAATGCCTTTGATCAAGGCTTTATGGAGGAGACGGACGCTTTGATGATTTTGCTGACATTTCCAGGAGACTTTAAAAACCAGAGTTGGGCTAATCAAATCAGTGTGCATTCTCCGTCACCGAGGTTAGGTAGCATGTATGCGGGTAGCCTTTTAGGAGTTAGTTTTTTTATGGTTTGGAAATGAGGAGATGTTGTGTCTAAGTGCTTTTTGAATGACTGAAAAGATTTTTGCACTTTCTGCACAGACACAAGACCTTCTGCAAACTTCTTACGATGGTCATATATACAGGATGCACTGCATGTTCTGGTATATTTAGCTCTGACCTTCTGACTTGGACTGTCTCAACCAGGGCTGTGATCAACCCTTGGGGGGGATCTTGGAGGAAACTCTTAGATCAGGGGTTCTCAAAGTTTGGATGATGGGATGTCAGTTTCAGGAGCCAACACATGATTGAGGGGCAGACATACTGTGACTTTGTAATGACATATATTATACTCTGACATCTTTGATGACTTTTTTTCACCAGATACTATACAGTGACTTTTCTGTGACATTTTTATGGCTTTTTATGACATTTTTATGACAAGCTAACACTTTACAAAAACTTTAATCATCTACAGCGATATAGCCGAAATACATTCTAGTTTTCCATGGTGCGATCCATCTCAAAGTCATGAAATAGAGACAAAGTAGTGTTTGACATTGATTGTACTTACACACAGCAGTTGAGCAATGGCTTCTGTTGAGGTACTGCAACTCCACTAGGACAAACCACATAGAAGAAGTAGTAATTATAATGGCAATTTGTACAGTTTAAGTTCCACTGTGTAGGATTTAAGGGGATATATGGGCAGAAATTGAATATAATGTGATATATAAGTATTTTTTCTTGTGTATAATCACCTGGAAATGAGAATAGTTGTGCTTTTGTTACCTTAGCATGAGCCGCTTATATCTACATAGGGAGCGGGTCCTCGTCTCCAAAAACGGACAAACCAAGCACTGGCTCCAGATACAGCCATTTGCATTTTTGCATTTTCAGGTTTTCACTGTGGCCATCTTAATTAGAAGCCCCTTTAAGATAAGAGTGTCACAAAACACTGACACAAACACTTTATGCAGAAGAGGAGACTTTTACGGATAATTTGGCTCCTGGTAAAAACCTCCTGAATGTCTGGATCTGTCTGGAGTTATCAGAGAAAAAAAAGATAAGCACAGATTAGCATGTGCTAGGCTAGTGGCCTGTCTCTGACATGCTAAATAAACTCAGATTTGTATAATCAAATTGCTTCATTCAGTGTTTTTACATGGTTTACATGACTGGGTCCACTTGTTTTGGAGAGAGGGAGACCTCTGCGGATAATTCTTACACACTGGACCTTTAAGTTTATTTGTGATTCTGTTTATATTTACTAATGATCAGCAAAAAGCAATTTTTCATATCAGTATGTTTAGGGGGGTGAGTTTGTGTGTGACCTAATATATATAATAATTACTGCCTGGGTCTAAACTAACCAGCACATTAGCAAACACAATCTGTGTAAATGTCCTCCTCCTTTGGATATATCTCCGTCCTTTGTCTAAGCATTAACATTTCACTTATAGCCAGAACCATTCATCTTCACCACGCGACTGATTTCAGCTGCCGACAGCATACAAATGTGCTCATCACACACACCTGCATGTGCAAACACACCCATGCTGGCACATCCTGTTGGCTCAGTGGGCCGCTGATGTATTCACAACCTTTTCTTACACGCCGTCGCCTCGCTCCTCTCCATCTGTCCCTCCTCGTTTCACCATTTAGTCCAGACAAACCAGATAACACCGGTGTGGATAGAGCAAGACCGGGTTATGAATTATACAGGGATTCTTTTTATGTAATCTGTTCCCAGTATAATTATGTAAATCTCTCCATTGTTGAGCTCGACTGGGTTTCCTGGATTTCTCCATTTGGCTGTCACAGGGAAAGTTCTCCTTTTTTGGGGGGGGGTCCAGCTCATTGCAATTTGTTGCACAGGGTTAGTGAACTCACCACACCAATTACATCTGAACTTTCACGGTGTCGCAGATTTTATTATCAGGGTCCTATCATGGTCAGTGCAGCATGTGAAATTGCAGACAGACTACGAGATGGTGCCACCGATGCCATTAATGTGGTCGGCCTCAATTTTGAAAATGTCCAGGGCCATTAAATCGTACAGGTGCTTTCACACAAATCTCAATTATTAGCCCTATTTCTGGAGAGTTCTCACCTCCTGGGCACATCCAGAGACAGTTCAAAATAAGACAGAGTGCCTCAAATAATCTGGAGACACACAAATCATCTGATGCCATGTGGTGCCACCTGAGAAATATGCCTCTCTCAGGCTGCTGGTATCTTTTGTCAGTTAATGGAGCTGAGAGATGAGGGCTGAAATTGAGACGCTGTCCCACAGGACAGCATAACCAATCATATGATATTTTGGACCTGCTGCAGACAATGAACCAGTTCGGCCATTAAGCCTGTGACTAAGACCAAATCTATCAGTGCATCTCTTTCTCCCAAAACGTTTTGTTTTCCTCATACTATGATTTATATCTCCCTAATGCCCTGCAACACTTCTCTGTCTTCATTACATTAGGAACAACATTTCTTGCCCAGATTGGCTATTGCACAGAGAAATCAGTGTCGGAAAAATACTATTTTTTAAACGTGAAACTGCTTTATTCAGTGTTTTGCAAGCGTTGAAATCACCAAGAGATCTCTGTGGATAATTCTGCCCCTGGTAAAAACCTCCTGAACAATGAACACTGAAGGAATTTTAACCAAGAAAAGTTTCAGCAGGTTGGAATCTGCAATCCTCACTCCTAGATGCCACTAAATCCTCCTAAATCTTACACACTGCTCCTTGAAGCCTGTGTCTGAGACCAAACCTACCAGTGCATCGCTTCTCCAAAAACGTTTTCTTCGTGCTATGATTTCTAAATCCCAAACACCTTGCAACACTTCTCTTTCCTCACCACACTGGCAACAACATCTCAAGCACAGATTGACTCTTGCAGAGAGAGATCAGAGTCAGGTGTGTGTCGTTTAAGAAACAGACTCAGTCACAGAGGCCCTTGTTTGCATCCATAGGAAATCATTGTTCCCACACCGACTGCTAACCTGCTGGAGATTGCACACTGTCGGCTTTAGCCTCGACCGAATGCAGAGCAACAGTCCTAAATTCAGGGGGGCCCACATGTGGCGCCCGTGTGCTGAGCGCTGCGGCCTGCGGTGTCGAGGTTTAACAGGCAACCATGTTTCTCCTTCACACCCCGCTAACTGTGAGCTTTTTGAAATGGTCAGAGGAGAGGCTGATAATTGTACTGACACTTCCTGGATGGGCTTGTAAGTGAGGTCGTACACATGGGGTACTATAATGTGAGAAAGGAGGAAGACGGAGCAGATGATGTGCAGTGCAGCAGGTCGGGAGCTTAAAGGATAATTTATTGCAACTTGGGTCTTGTTTCTGTGCGTGAATGTGAAAGCTGAGTCCTCTGCTAAAGTCATATAATCACAATTGGAACAAAATCATGAACTGCACCCTGAAATGATCGCTCTCACCCCCACAACAGCTCTTATATGGCATCCTCTTGCTGTGGCAGGTATATATAGGTGCTGTGGGGATAATTGGATAATGAGAGGCAGTTGTGGAGACAGGAATGAGGGGCAGGTGTGCAGGGGCAACTAGTGGAGAGATGGGGAATGACAGCGTCCACACACAATAGAGGAACAACAGGGAGGAAGTAAAAAGCTTAAAGAGCACCAAAATAAATGGGATCACTGGGGTGACACCAATGTGAGGACACGTAATTTACACATTAATCATTAGTCACACATGGATCACGTTTGTAAAATCAGGGGGATTCGGTCTGTATACATTGTGGGTCACATGTTTTGAGTCCAATTAAACACCATTCATCCTTTTTCCGAACACATAAACTGTTTTCTTGGTCGTTGCCCCCGATTTCTCCAACAAGGCTCCTCCATCACAACTCCTAACCATACCAACCCATACAACATTTAGGCAGAGCAGCAGGGGGGGTACAGCTCATACCCCTCCCCACCTTTCTTCTCCCAGGCAGGGTGATGATCTGTAAACAGAATCATTAAGACGCAATTTGTGACTGCAACGTGCGCCCACACGTTGCCTGGAGAGGGCGATCCATCACCAGCAGCCCCATTCTTCACTGTGGAAAAATATGACGCAGAGGCCTGCTGCTTGTCTGCATGACCTCCGACCTCCAAGATTTGTGTGTCTGGACTTGACCACACAAGCATTCACTTTCGGAAATAAAACAATGGCTGGTCTGGTGGTGATAGGAACTGTCAAATCCATGGATGGATTCGTGTGTGTCCCAGCCCTCCTACATATGTGCTCCCTTTGTAGTTGTTTGGGGTCTAGCTTTGTTGTTGCTGTGTATTTGTTTTGAGTCTCTTCATGGTCAGTTTGCATCTCTGTGGCTGTCTTGTGTCTCTTTGTGGTTGTTTTGAGTCTCTTTGTGTTTGTCTTGCATCTTTGTGTTCGTTTTGTGTCTGTGATTGTTTTGAGTCTCTTTGTGGTCATTTTGCATCTCCTTCTAGTTGTGTTGCATCTCTTTTTGGTCATTTTATGTGTCTGTGGTTGTTTTGAGTCTCTTTCTGAACATTTTGCTTATTTTGTGGTCATTTTGCATCTGTGGTCAGTTGTTTTGAGTCACTTTGTGGTTGTTTTGTGTGTCTTTCAGATCGTTTGCATCTCTGTAGGCTTTGTGTGTTGATTGGTTTGAGTCCTTTTGTGGTCATTTTAGTTCTCTGAATGGTCATTTTGCCTCTCTTTATAATCATTGTGCATCTCTATGTAGTTGACTTGCGCCTCTTTTTGGTTGTTTGACCTTCCAATACGAAATGTCAACAGTCAAAGTCACTACCGGCTTGAGCCTGCCCGATAGGCCTGTTCATTAATCCATCCATGGTCCAATGACAGCTTTGATCCACAGCAGACCCCGTCCCCCAGGAAACATCCTTGAGAAAGACACGCAGGCTTCCTTTCCTGGCCTGCTGCTGATTTTGACCTCCATCATGAAAGTCATACATGTTTAATTTATTCAGAAATGTGACTACCTAATTATACTTTATGCATAATGAGGAGAAAGGATGAAAAGAGATGTAATTGAGGACCAGTGTCAGGACCATCTCAGGAAAACAAATCCATGCTCTTTGCTTGTTGACCCTCCTTACCATTTTACCACAATAACTCCAGCCCCCCGAGATAATGGGTAATTGTTCAAGACGTGTTATCAAAGGGGCAGCAGAGAGGTCTGGGTGTTAAGAGGCAGTGCTCCTTCCTCTGCTCGTCTTTGATGAAGTGCTCCTCTCCTGTAATGTAATTCCTCCATCCTCCTGGATGTTTTCATTGTATTCGAGAGCTTCCCCTAACGACGCCCAGCGCTGCAGCTCGGCAACCTCTCCCACTATGTTCCTATGGTAACAACCCAGAGAGTGTGTGTCTGGGAAATGAGTGATTGTCTATGTTTGTGTGCGTTCATTATGGTGGTGTGGCTCATTTTTACATAATGAATCAATTATCAAGGCTGTGGAGCGAGCTCATTTGAATAATCACAGACAGAAACAACACTCTACACACAAAATGATTTTACTGAGCATCTTTACATATCACATGTACAGATCAGTATTTCCCTCAGAGAAGGTGCAACACTGTGTGCGTGTGTGTCGGGAGGGGAGAGGGGGTATAATGGGACGTCCAACTGACATCATTTGCCTGCCAATCTGCACCCTGCTCGCCAAACCCAGCCTCCATAATAACTTCACTGAGCAGGACTATGGCAGCTTCAGTGTCTCTATTTTTAAACAGTTCTTCACATGAGAGAAAGTGTCATACCGCCCCCTACTGTCCAATGTTGGTCCATGACTCTGATCAAAACTATAGCAGGATTTATAAGGCTTCAAAGGCAGAAATGTTCTCTGTCTGTCTGCCATCAAACACACAAGACTTCAGTTTACCAGGTTTAAAAAAAACCCAAAACACAACACTCAAAACGCCAAAAGATATGAATTTGTGAGACAGGTTGTCATCTGTCATTTTTGTTTTTAATTAGAAGCCTGTCTTTTGTTATTAAGACTTGCTGAGGTTAATTAAGACTTATCCCTATTGCTGTGAGAACATCGTTTCAATTAAAACCTGTTGTTTCAAGGCCTAATTATTAATCCACACATAAACAGAAGGGAAGCTTCACCATAGAAACAAGGAGGAGCAGTAGCACTGTATTCATGGAGTCATGGAGGCAAATATGTAACAGATACAGTTTTATTACTCTCTGTAGTTCTAATAATTAACCTGGAAAGTGAAAAATAACTATTTGAGAGTAACACAGAAATCAAAACCTTCATTAAAATGGACCTAAACTTCAGGTAGACGTTGAAGGCAACATACAGCACAGCTGCGCCACCCTGTGGTCATTGATAAAAGTACATTCATTTATGGCTCATCTTCATGTGTTGCTTCATCTACTACATTCTCGGAGTGTCTTTGAGTTTAGCAAATTCATCCTCCACCCTCTTACAGAACAAATAACTAAATACTGAGGGGCCGATGAATTTTATGCATGAATCCTCCAACAAGTATAGAACGTCACTGTACAGGAAACTTAAATCATCGCAGATCTGAATCAGTTTCTTTTTCATCTCCTCCTCGTCACAGTCGACCTGATGAACTCTTAACATCAACTGCCAAGACCTCACCAGAATTTTTAGGTCTTGCAATGCCTGCTGGATCTGTGAGGCTGTCATGGAGGTATGCCTCTCAGTCAACACAATCCGTGTAAGGTCAGTACCTTCACACTTAACAGACGCATCAAGACCTCTCAAGCATCTGTCAAACTCCTTGTCATATTTTTTAACGTATCTGAATATGTACGAGTCGACCCAGATGCACGTCTCCTCCTGATCCTCCGGACAGATTGCAGACAGCTCCTCTGTGTCCTCAGTATTGTTCTTGGAGGACGTTGAGACATCTTTATGTCTGGTCTGGTGGATTTTAGCGGTGACGGCTGATCTGATCTGATCTGATTCCTTTAGATAGTCAGTACTGTTGTAGCTGGAGCCCATATGATTCTCTCGTCTGATCTTGGTTGTTGGAATCCTGTCTGGTCTGCTGCGTTTTTCTGAAATGTCGTCTACTCCTAGCTGTTTTGCTGATATTTCCTGTGGTAGGAGCAGGTCCCGGCCTGATAAGGAAGATCTAACCCCTGCATTGAGCACTTGTCTGGAGCTGGCCTCTGCTTGCTCTGTCCTATATTCTGTGGATATGTCAAGCCTGGGCATATCTCTTGGCTCCTCCTCATCACTGTTTGTGTCACAGAGGTTCCCTTCAGCCACACTCTCATGGGAAACTTTTTGCCTTGAGGAGGCATTTTCAGTTTTTGCATTTGAGAGCCGGCTTTGGACTTCAGTTGCCTCACCTGTGGTCTGCAGCGCCGTTGATAAGCAGTCTGAGCTCGCTGGTCCCAGCTTAGCTTTAGAACCGCTGCGGCTTACAGAGCCGACAGACCCGTGATGAGATATTACCCTCGGATTAAGAGGAGTTTCTCTTAGTTTGACGGCAGCTGTTTGGGCTGAGACTTCGGATTTAAGTCGACTGGCCCTGCGGATGAGGTCCTCTCTCAGGGCCTGAACGGCAGTAAAAGGCCCTTCAATGGTGGCTTTCATCTGGTGAGGGAAAGGCTGGAAACGTAGCGACCTGTGAGCTGACCGCAGACTCTGAATCAGCGTTGCTTGATCTCTGCCGAATACAGACAGATTGACGGAAGCACTGGGGACGTATAAAAACACCTGCAGCACAAGAGTACATTCGAATCACCATCTTATATTCTACAAGGAAAAAGTTATTGTTACTCACGTAAGTTACAGATGAGCCAAACTATAAACCAAACTGACACTTACATCTCTCGTGAAGGGGAACACAGTGAGAAGGTAGTCGTCCGGAAACTCGTTGTCCTTCATGATGTGTTGCTCCTTTCGCACCACCCTCGCTGCATCTGCCAAAAGGACTGCACTGTTCTGCTTTGGTCTCCACTCATATTAACATTACAATGATGCTTCATAAAGCCATGCATTCATTTCGTGTCATTGAAGATGTACACAGCCTAACTTTTATCTACCAGTCTGATGCTACTGTAGCTTGATGGTGACAGTGTTTGACTATAATATGTAGAAATAAAACATTCATCAGCCAGGCATACATCCAAGCAGCACATCATGTAAATAAATGTTTAAATAAATTAGTAAATACTGTTTTTGTACTGTATAATTGGTTCCCATGGGATTGAATTGTGGTTCCTATGGGAGCCAATTAGAACATAAAACAGGAGATACATTGAACAATGACTGAAGTTGGTTTAAGGCATTTATGTATTTAAATTTCCATTTACAGATATGGCCTCTAGTTGTGCCTCTCATGTACTGCCATTATATTAGAGTCACAGCTAATGAGCATAACAGAAAAAAAAGATAAAGAAATAAGCAGCTATCTTTGAAACGCTCAGAGAATGAAGTAAACTCTTTTACAGTTTCCTTGTGCATATCCAAAAAACTCCTCTGATCACATGGATGGAAAAATATTCAGACTGTTGTGCGAGATAAAACAATTTGCTTCCATATTTCCCGACCCAGTTAGCACGAAAAGACTGTCCCTACACTCTTGCTATTATTTTGGAACACTAGCAAAAATAGTCAGCATTACTTAAGCGTAACAAACATCTATATACATCAAAACATTAAAACCACTGACAGGTGAGGTGAACAACACTGATCATCTTGTTACAGTGCAATGTTCTGTTGGGAAATCTTGGGTTCTGAGATTCACATGGATGCCACCTGACACGCTCCACCCACCTTAACACCAGTGCAGACCAGGTACCCCCCATTATGGCAGCGGCACTCCCCAGTAGGACAATGATACCACAAAAACTGCCCAGGAATGTGACAAAGAGCTCAAGGTGTCGACCTGGCCTCCAAATTGCCCAAATCCCAATCTGATCAAACATCTGTGGGAGGTGATGGTACCCCACCTCATAACCTACAGCACTCAAAACGCCCTGGTGCCAAACACCATAGGACACGCCCAAGAGGTCCCGTGTCCATGCCTCGACAGGTCAGAGCCAAGTCCGGTCCAAGGAGGCCCCACTATGGATCTGGGGGGAACCTCTGGGGTACCTGCACGTCCCTCAAATGTTGGATCAGATTAGGATCTGGGGTATTTGGAGGTCAGGTCAACACCTTGAGCTCTTTGTCCTGTTCCTCAGGTTATTCCTGAGCAGTTTTTGTGGTGTGGCATGGTGCATTGTCCTGCCATCGATAATTGCCGTTGCCATGAGGGGGTTTACTTGGTCTGCAACTGTGTTTGGGTGGGTGGAGCTTGTCTAGTAGCATCCACATGAATGCCAGGACCAAAGGTTTCCCAACAGAACATTGCACTGTAACAAGACTATCAATGTTACTCACTTCACCTGTCAGTGGTTTTAATGTCTTGACTGATGGGTGTATACCAATATAACTCTGAGGTATGACTTTTTGTTTTAGTTCATATTGTACAAATTGAGCAATAATTATGTAATCATATATAAAATGTAATGATGCAGATGGTTAGAAGAGTCTGTACAGTTTCAGGTGTAACCCTTCAGATTCTGTAACCTAATACCAGACTCCCTTAAGAAATCGTCGATTTTTGTGACTTGTTAGTGTTTAGGTTTTCGGGTTAAAGGGGGCAGCAAATGTTGTCAAATTACCTTCTTTGGGTTTCACAGATGTACTGGTATTAATTTATGCCTAGCTCTGTGACTTAAATGCAACGATTAAGTGAAAACACAAGAAGCACAAAGTAGGGCTCCTGAATGAGTGAGTCAATTTACAAACTGTCATTTTTAAAATGGAGTTTGGCGTGTTGACAAGTAATAGCTGTTTACTTGTTTACTGTTATCTTATTTACTTTAGCTTGTGCTCCTCTAAGTGGACACACACACGACACAAACACGACACACACTTACAGACTCCACTATGATTAGCTTGTAGCCTGTGTTTAGCTACAACCTGTTAACTTACCTTTAGCTTGGTCAAAAGTGACAAAGGCGACACCGACCATGTTGGTGGGATACTTCACCACCTCGACGTCTCCTCCATGACTCCTCCTGTAACTCTGGAAGTGAACTGTTAGCTTGTCAATCATCCTGCTGACGGGTAACACACCGGGAACACCGGACACAACCACAGTCCTGCTCATGTCCAGGGAGTCGGTCTCCATCTCGGCTGTAGACATGTAGCTTAGCAAACATTACAGCTAACTGCTAACGCGCCTTTTTCAACCACACCGAACATGAGACGCTTCATCTCTGACTACAGCTCGTTGCTATAAACAGTTTTCAGATAAGAGGTATGTTTAGTTTCACTTTCACTCTGCTTGGGGCTGTGTTGCATGCTGTAGTAGCAGCATCTGTCCACTAGGTGTCTCTGTTTCTCTACATTCCACTTCCTGTGAAGAAGACTTATTCAAAATGGCTAATTTATGCAGCTGGAAATTAGGCTGCTAAGCAGAGCAAATATCTCTGCAATACCCCAAAGGCAGAGATTCAAACCTAAGGCAACATTTTCCACAGAGTTGCCTCATCATGTTGCTCCCCCCCGCATGCATACACACACACATCTTGCTCCAAGGAAACATTTTAATACATCCTCACTTCTAGATTATTGCTCGCCTTTTGGCATTGGGGGAAAAAGTTATGTCAACACGTGTGGTGCAAACATTTATTAGAGTCAAACCAAAAGAAAAAAAAAAAAAAGAAAGAAAAAGCCACACCAGACACATAACACCTCTCATGATTCACACAAACAAAATCCCCCCCCAAAAAGAAGCAAAGTAGAGTGACAAACTCGATTGCATTTTTTGTGTGCATATAAACATTTTAATTAAATATAAAAGAAAGTGGCCTGGCCGAGTGCAACAAACAGGTACGAGGGGGGTCAATAAAAGAAAATCCAGGCCCTGTCCGACTCCAATCAAATCTCCATCTCGTTTATCACTTCAGTGCAAATCCAACATTCACTGTGTATAAAAGTGACTTTAAATAATTCAGGTAGTATATCTATTATTCAGTGTTTATTATTGTATGGGCTCACATGGTACAAGTGTTGCTGCGTGTTATTGTTGGGAGCATGTTAAAGAGAGAAGAAACACAGTCCTGTGTACCTAACGGGAGATAAATGTGGCTCTGCTCCATGAGTCAGTGGCGTGGACACGTGATGGAATTATCGATGGATGTTAAATAAAACAGCTTTGATATGAATGCTCAGTTTATATGCAATAACATGATACAGAGCCCCGATTTAACGTCTAATCTTTAAAGTGGGCACAAAAACATTCTTGAACCAGGAACAAATTGATATTGTGTACGTTTAGTTCAATATGGTGCCGTCACACTCATACACCTGCTATTAAAGGAGCCACAGTGGAGTCACTAACAGCTGGCAAATGAATCCCAAAACTCTCCAAACACTTACACTTTTAAACAGCAAACTAGATCTTTAGAATAGAGAAGGGCCAGCTCAGCGGCCACGGACGCATTTCACAAACAAAACCAAACTCAGACCTGTTGGCCAGGAAAAAAAAAAAAGATAAAATGAACTAAAACAAAATAAAAGTGAACATTCATTCTTCAAACATTTGATACGGTTTTTGATTTGGACAGAGTCTAGGACTTGAACTGAAACAGTCCAGACTGAGGCAGCAGAGGCAGGTGGTTGGATGTGCGTTCGTGTGGCGCTCCTTAGATGCGCCGAGATCTTAGCAGCTATGAGCCGGCCTTGTCCGAGTCACACGGCTCCCCTTTGTGTCTGGTACTAGTTCTGAGTTTAAAGGTGGCCTGGGGGCCGCTGTGGTGGAGCGCAGCGCTCGGGGCAGCGTATCTGGAGTGTAGCACGGCAAAGATGGAGTATGATGAGGCCAGGTGTCCGCTGGGAGCGTCTCTGGTCGTGTTGCACAGCCGGGGCTGATGGTCCGACAGCCGCTGGATCAATTCGCCCCCTCTGCAGAGCTCTGCCAGGAGGTGGTGGGAGTCTGTACAGCTGATCCCCTCTGGAGGATCTGTCACTTCCAGTATCTGACTGCTCACTGCAGACAGACAGACAGCACTGTGAGCAACAGAGCCAGTAAATAAAACAACTGTCATGGGTGAAGAGAAAATTCAGACCTGCACCATCGGGAGGCTTCAATAAAGTGCTGCTGTCAGCTTTAAAGCTTTAGGAGGAAGGTCGGTCAAACCTGTCGCAGAGTGCTAATGCAATCTTATCAAAAATATCACCCCCCCCAAAAAAGGTCTAAAAAGCGTGACATTTTAGAGGCAGTGATGTAATGTTGAACTTTCCACCAGCACTTACTGCACAACACAGTGGGCTGCGTACGAGCCCCCTCCTTGTTGATTGTACCAGTGCGATTGTTGACAAGAGCACCTGAATAATGCAAAAAAAATACCCAGGCGAGTGCAAAAATCCGACGCTATATTTGAAATAATCAGCACATTTCTCTCGGCACAATACCGCCAGGGCTGCAGGTTCCACAGCCAGGTGTGAATTCTGCCCTGTCTGTAATTTATTCTGCTTACATTCACAAACAGACACTTTTCTCAACAGCTGCGGAGCGCAGCAAGCATATTTTGACACAACAAAAACCTGATGTTATTTTAGTTAATCTGCTAAATAGGCTACACAGCAGCTGAGTTGATCACATGTGATGAATCTGAATACGACTCTCCTTTTCTGATTGACATCTAAAACCTGATGTTCCACTCTGGACTGCACGCTTTGAGAAACTGCTTGTCTGAATTATACACCAGATTTATATTTGGCGCTTCTCTCTGTAGAGGGAAGGTCAAATTTCGGTCAGAATCGCTGATAAACTAAAAATGAGCGCTGTTAACTTGGGGTTCACTAAACTCAAGCCTCCCTCTGGACTTCCTATTACCTGCTTCACCTACACTGAGATCTGAAGACAGAGATTTTCTGCTGGCCTTCCTCCCATGACCGCTACGCCAAACCCCCAGTGGACCCTGAGGGGACAAAGGACAATAGTTATTGGCAGGGGTGGTGGGGTGGTGGTGGCGGTTTGCTGACCCAATATAATATCTTTCTTTTGCTAAAGATGAATAACTTCACAGCAAGGAATAACTTTTATTACAAATAGAAGACCTAAAAAACATTATTTCATATCATGTGTAACAAGGTGTGTGTGTTTGTGTCCCACCTGGTGTTTGGCCACCATGTGGGCAGTGTGGATCAGCGGAGGTCTGATGGAGGGTTTGTACTGCAGAGGTTGGCCCAGTAGAGAATAGTGTGCTTCACCTACACGTTACAGGAAATACACAGACAGTTATCAAAGACTGTGGCTTTAGCACAAACTAAAAACTGTGTGAGTTTATCTGTGGTTATATTTGTGTTTCAATCCTGAGCAAACAATGGACCTTTAGAGAATTAGATTTTGTATAGAAATTATAAATCACAAAAAAATATTGAGCAAAAAAAAAAAAAAAAAAAAAAAAAATTGAGCAAATAAAAATCTATTCTGTTCTTCAGTGTAGGTGATTTCTGAACCTTTATTATTGTGATTATCATTATTATTATTATTTAATTAGCCTGTATCAGCCTACAACCTAGCCCTCTTTTTTTGGTAGCTTGCTAAATTCTACCAGCTTTGCTGTAGCTAACTAAGCTAGCTGGCTAATTTAGTAATTCCAGCTACACAGCCAAGGCATTAAAAAACATTTATTTAAGTAAACAAAAATCATTCCAGTGCTAAATAGTTGACAATTTCTGAACCTTTATGAAGTTTAATTTGTGTAATAACCTTTAGTTTATTAGCTTGCAACCTCCAAGCTATCCCTCTTTTTAGGTAGCTTGCTAACTTCTACCAGCTCTGCAGTAGCTAACTAAGCTAGGTGGCTAATTTAGTAATTGCAGCTATACAGTCAAGGCATTAAAAAAACATTTATTGAAGTAAACAAAAATCGTTTTGGTGCTAAATAGTTGACAATTTCTGAACCTTCATGAAGTTTAATTTGTAAAATAACCTTTAGTTTATTAGCTTGCAACCTAGCTATCTTTTTAGATAGCTAGCTGCCAGATAGCAATAGCTACCTAAGCTAGCTGGTTAATTTAATGATTGCAGCTACACAGCCAAGGCATTGCAAACATTAATGTAGTTCCTTTAAAGAAACATTACTGTTGACTGTGTCTTTAAATATGATATGACATTTGTTAGCCAAAGTGAGCTAAATGTCAGTTTCAAAGCATGCTACAAGGTGGTTATTAGGAATTAGTGAGTCAGCCAGCGATATAACTATATTAAACTTTCACTTACATTTTTTCATGGTCACTTGTAGTACTTAATAATAAATATAGGGGCACAGTTTAAGTTCATTTTCTTTAAAGGAACTAACATCACAATTATCAAGTTAGCCAGGTAAGTTAGCCAAGCTGAGCTAGCTGCTGCTTGTCTGGCATAAGTTAGCTGGCCAATACAAATACAGACTAGCTTACAAATCTGATTTTATGAAGATTCACGTAACCAAAACTACTAATTAGTAAGAAAAGTAAGAAAAATGAAATATCTATAGATTTTTGGTTGCTCAAATAAAATCATTTTTTGCATGATGCCTATTCTACAAAATACAATTTGCATGTTTGTAAAAAATCTTTGCACACTCAGGACTGAAGCAGAAATACAACTCCGTAAGTGTTGATTAGCGTGCTATGTTGGTGAGGACATCTTTTAATACTGGCCTGTGAGTGAGTAAACACCCCGGTTGTGGATGTGTCTCTGACCTTGTCCACTGTGGCAGAAGGCTGTAGGGAGCGGCGGGTGGTGGGCCATGACAGGGATGGACGAGATGCCTGATGGGAGGCCCTTGACGCTGGGCGGCTGGCCTGGCGAGGGAGTGAGTGCCGGAGACAAGGGCAGGCTGCTCTACACACAACACACCGGCGATGCGGCGAGAGGATAGACGGGGAAGAACACAAAACACTTTCATTCAAAAAAGGCAACCATTGCTATTTCTCTCTTTCGCAAAGTCATTCTGTTGTTCAAGTTGTTGCTTTAATGTACCGTTCCATCCACATTAGTCCCCCTAATGTACCATTACCCCCTAATGCTAAGGACTATTTTCTCCTCATTTTCAGGTTACGCCAGCACTGACTTCATTTGCAGAGCCTATTTACTTCGACATTTAACCTGCCTGGAGCGCCGGGGAGGCCCAATTCTCACGTCACTGCAAACTCAGACGACCAAACTAAATTGCCTTTCAAATTGCTTTCTTGTGACTGCCTTAACTTTCTGACACATACTGTATTGTCCTATGTGGCAAACATTACCTGAGCAAATTTATAATTTAATTTAACACTATTTGGAAATTGTTGTCAAGTCAGAAGTCCTGCGGGCCTCTGAG